ATAAATCCGGGCGTTTTCGGTGTGCAGGGTATACATTTAAGAGACCCTTTATAAATCTCTTAGTCATTGGATGGGCAAAAATTGAGTAGCCCTCTATCGGGTGCTGGAAAGCAGAAATCGCTGCCAGATGAACTTTGATGGAGGATGGTGCTAAAACCGAATGTTGTAGATGTAGGATATAATCGAGGATATTCTGGATGTGAAGAAAAGATGGATCGAGATTATTAGCTGAGCATCAGGAGTAGAAGCAACGCCATTTGTGAAGGTAGGTAGCTCGTGTGGAGTCTCGTCTACTGGGCATCAATGCATGTTTGACCTCCTGGGAACAGATAATTTCTGTTTGTTGGAACCAGCTAGGAGCCAGGCCATAAGGTGCAGGTAGTCAATCCGTGGATGGGTCGTGTTCCCTCACTGTTGTGTCACGAGGTTGTGTCATTCGGGTAAGAGTTATGGGGGACATATAGATATCTGGAAGAGGAATGAGAGGCACGTCTGATGTGGCTAGAAGGGGGCTTCAAGTATGACCGTGGCGTCGTCTCTGATTATTTTCTCCAAGACTTTCAGAATCAGTGGAATCGGAGGAAAAGCATACAGCAGATGATCACTCCAATCTAGTAGGAAGGCATCTCCGAGAGATCTCAGCCCAAGACCCGCTCAGGAGCAATAAGAGGGACACTTTGTGTTGTGATGTGTTACAAATACTTCTAGAACGAGATGCCTACATTGTTGGAAGAGGTCCTGTGTTACCTCAGAGTTTAGTTCCCATTCGTGCTGGTGAATAAAATGCCTGCTGAGGGCGTTGGCAATAATGTTGTCTTTGCCTGGGAGGTACGTCACAATGATGGTGATATCATGGCAAATGCACCAGTTCCATAATCGTGTTGCCTCTGCACAGAAGGACCACGACTGGGCTCCCCCTTGCCAGTTGATGTAATAGGCTGTTATGTTGTTAGTGAGAATTTGAATGGTGCAACATTGAATATTGGCTAGGAAATGCTTGCAGGCATTAAGTACAGCTCTCAGCTCGAGTAAGTTGATATGTTGGAGAGATTCGTGAGTGTCTATTGTCCTTGAACTTGGTAGTCTCTGAAGTGCACTCCCCAGCCCTGTAAAGACGTGTCTGTTGTAATCTGCACAGTGGGTTGTGGGCAATGGAATGGAACACCAGCGAGCATGTTGGTAGGGGAGCTCCACCATGCTAAGGAGTCCCATGCTAGAGAGGAAACGGAGACTGACCTGTGCACACTGTGATTGCCTTGTCGATATATGGAGGCTATCCAGTGTTGGCAGCATCTGACATGTAACCTTGCAAGTTTTACCACATATGTGGTGGCCGCCCTGTGCCCCATGAGTTACAAACAAGTAAGTATAGGGGTCTTGGGACTTTGGAGAGGTTTGTACAAAGTCCTGGATTGCATGGAATCTGATTAGAGGGAGGTATGCCCTGGCTGTTGTAGAATCTAGTCATGCTCCAGTGAACTTGAGACACTGTTGCAGAGTCATGGAAGATTTTGCAAGATTAATTATGAGACTGAATAGAGGTATCATATTGGTAGCGTGCAATGCCTCGTTGAAAGATGACACCTTGATTAGACAATCGTCTAGGTACGGGAATATCATTAATGCCATGTCGACAAAGGTAAGCTGCCACTACCACTAAAGTTTGAGAGAAAACCCTGGGCACCGATGATGAAAGGCCAAAAGGGAGAACTCTGTACTGGAAACGTCCCGTGTCTACAAGGAATCTCAGGAAATATCTGTGGCTGAATGGATAGTCACATGGAAGTAAGCGTCCTGCAGGTCGAGGGACGTGAACCAATCCCTGCTATCGTGTGCTGGGATAATGGAAGCTAATATCACCAATCTTGAATCTGTGCTTTTGAAGGTAACAATTGAGTCGAAGGTCCAGAATCGGTCTCCACCCTCCTGATTTTTTCTGGGTAAGGAAATAATGAGAGTAAAATCCCTTGCCCAGGAACTGCTCGGGTACTCTCTCTATGGTGCCAATTGTAAGTCGGTGCAGGACCTCTTGCCTTAGGAGAGCCTCATGAGAGGAGAAGGTGGTGGTGGGGGGGAGAAGTAAGGTAAATGGAATTGCATAGCCAGATGTCACTAGCTCACGGACCCATCCATCGGTGGTGATGGTGGACCACCAGTGTTGATATGGCCTAAATGGATAGTGAAATAGCTTTTGCGACTCGTGAGGTTGGGATGTTAAGGGGAATGGTTTGCAGTCCCCCGACCAATCCATCAAACGGACTGCCAGTTATTTTGTTGGGTAGGCACCCTGTTTTGTGGGAGTAATTTTTGCTGTTGTTGCTTTGGACATTGTTGGTCATACTGCCTGTATCGGGATGCAGTGTATGAGAAAGGACACTTCCAGTAGCAAAGCATGCATCTCTTGCGGCGGTAAATGCATTCCGAGTATCCTAAGCATCGTTCTAGAATCTTTGCTAGAATGGAGCACCTGATCCGTTTTCTCAGCAAACTGTAGTTCCCTTGGAACTGAGGCCAACTGGAGCCAGGATGCGCTATGCATCACCACTGAATTGGCGGTGGTTCAGGCAGCCATGTCAGCGATGTCCAATGCAATCTGTAATGCTGCCCTGGAAGCAGTGTAACCCTCCTGTACTACCAATTTTAGTATTTGGCGTTTGTTGTCAGGCAGATGTTCTAAAAGTGCCACCAACTTGGTATAATTATCAAAGTTGTGGTTAGAAAGGAGGGCCACGTAATTAGCCATCCTCAAAGTCAGTGTAGTGTATAAGTAAACTTTCCTGCCGAATAAATCTAGTCGTTCAGCCTCCTTGTCATTAGTGGTGTTCTTAAATTGTGGTGCTTTAGCTCTCTGCTGTGCTGCGTCCACTACCAGCGAGTTAGGCTGTGGATGTGTAAATTCTATCCCTTTCGAGGGGACGAAGTACTTTTTGTCTGCCGTTTTGTTGGTTACAAGGGTAGAAGCAGGCGTCTGCCAGATCTCGACAGCGACTTCAAGAATTGCCTCATCAAGAGGTAGTACCACCCTAGACTTCTGAGAGGGTTGCAAATTCTTCAGCAGTCGATGCTGTTTCTGCTGTACTTTGGTTAGTTGTACTTCCTGGGTCTCACCGTGTGTTTGACTAGCTCTTGAAATTGCCGAGCATCATTGGTAGGTGAAGAGTCACCTGCAAAGATGGCGTCATCCAGAGAAGAGGACAACTGGTCCGTTGAGGACTCCCCTTGTGGCTACTCTTGTTCAGATATTTGCCCGTGAGTGCAGATATTGCCTTGTTCAGATATTTGCAAAGTGAGTGCAGGCACGTCCCCAGTGGGGGGGGGGAGGGGGGTGGTCTTGTGCCAACAGATGGAGTGGGTAATCTAGTATGGTCACATGAGACATGCAGTTGGTGGTAATGAGGTGATCTTGAACAAATGCATCCTGCCAAATAAGGGCAGTGTCAGTCATAGTAATCGTGGTCATAGTGGCGACCGTAATAGTATCTTGGGGAGTATCTTGGAGAATATCTACTCATAGTTGTATGATGGTAGCGGGATTAAGATGAATGCGTAGGAGATCTAGATGAGCGTGACCTGCCTCATGAGCATCTTGGAGACCTGTGAGGATCAGTGCCGATAGTAACGCTGCAGAGATGGGGAGTAGCGTGGTGACAAATGGCGGTGTTGCGTAGTCAGACTGCTGTGTATCACTTCTTCGGAGCATACTGAACAAGCTGAGCCATGAGAGGATGGCTCTGGGGAAAAAATGAGCAGGTTCTGGGCTAGGAGAGGGAGTAATCAGTCTCCTAGACTTGCGTAGGGCCTTTGACAGTGCCGGAGAGGGCTGTCGATGGGATAAAGCCATATCCGGCTCTGGATATATTGCTGGTGGAGCTGGTGCCATCGGTGCCAATAGCAGTGGCACCATAGCAGGTGCCAGTGCCACAGGTTGCATCAGTGTTGGCACAGCAGTCAGTGACAGCCTCATTGTTGGTGCTGACATTGGCGGCTGCTTTCCCAGTGCCGCTGCCGGTACCGACTCTGCTCTGGGCACCACAGAGGTCGCCAGTGCCAGTTCCCTCGAAAGGGTCGGACTCGACGCCGATGTACTCCAGCCTATCTTATGTCTATCAGTGTGGCAGCTAAGAGTCATTCCCAAAGTGCCCAGCTTATCTCCCGCACTAGGTCACTTCGATGGCGAGTAGAGGAGTGGGGATGACTTTCTTAGGCACACTTGGGGCGGACCGGTGTATGTCTATTCCCAGAGACTCCGGGGGTCACAAAGAATCAGCCTTGGTGGACTGTAGTACCTTATTAAAGAGCAACGTTTTGAGCCTCATTTCGCGGTCCCGCTTGGCTCGTGCTGTAAGTTTAGAACAGTGCGGGCATTTTTTAGGGATATGTCCCTCGCCCAAACACTTGATACAGCGAGAATGTCCATCCAAGGTGGGCATCGGGTCATGACATGTACCACATTTCTTGAATCTGGAAGATCCCGGCATTACTGTGTAATAGGGGACTAGGCTATGCAGTCCTTAACTATGAAGAGAATTTTTTTTTTAATTAACAGTTATCAAGTAAGAACTATTGAACTCTAACTACAGAACTATAAACAACTAAATACTAACTAATACTAATCTTCCCCTCTCAGGATGTGAGGAGAAGAAACTTGCTCTGTCTGCAACCATGGACAGTTAGAAGGAACTGGCGGGAGCAGGACCATGTGCTCTCAGAGACAGTGCGAATGGCATGAGATGCCTGCTGCGCATGCACGGTCCAGCTGGACTACTGCTGATGAATCTCCAATCTGCGGCACCAGGACGAGCCCGACACCTACAGTGGAGCACCCACGGGGACACTACTCAAAGAAGAAAGTATGTTCCAACTTCCTAATTCTATGATTTTTCTGCTACTTAAGACTAAAGCATATTAAACAACAAAATAATGGCAAAATGTGACGTGTTAAACTAATAATCTATATTCAGTAACCAGTATTTCATATATGTTTAAAATAAAAGAATTACCTAATATTAATCCCACCATTGTACTCAAATATCCGGTTCCACTACCAAGATTCAGAAAAGATAATCCTGGTTGAAGTTTCAATGCCTCCATGACTTCAGAATAAATGCAAGGTGCTGATAAGTGTATATTTCCATGCTTCCAAGCCAAGTCTTTATAAGCATTCTCCTTGTATCCTTCTAGAAAATAATCACCACGGTCAATTGCTCTGAAGGCTTGCTCCACTCTCTCAGTGCGAATATACTGAGCTTCTTTCAAGTTATCAATTAAATCATCATTGTCTTCCCCAGCACTCACAGCTCCTCCCATGCTGATTTTCTATAATTCAGTGAGTTTGAAAATACATTAGCAGAAGAGTTTTGAAGTGTCAGTGTGCAATAGACTCTGGTCTTTTCCTTTCAACAGCACATCAGAACATCACAAGTGAATCCTGGGAGAAAAAAAAAAGGTTACTTGTTTTGAATTTCACAGAGAAAAAGGCAGCATGAACTATATACAGAGATCATTTAACAAAAGGGGTAAAGAGGGGGAAAACAGCAACGCTGCTAGTTTGAAGTGTGATTCAACTTAACCAAACAAGTAACATATTGAGAATATGGCATTAATATTCCATGCCTAAATCTTGTCTTCCAAATTAAATTTATTTATCCTCAGGTACAAAGATTTCCCCCTCCTCCCTCAATATTCATATTCAGTTTAGGTACTTAACTGACCCTATCCCCATGGTTTCTAAGTATCTTCAAAAAAAGCTTTAAGAACTTACTGGGTCAGATTTTTCCATAGCATCTACCTGACTTTCAGTAGAATTCATGCTTCTAAATCACTCCCGGTACACCACCTAGTATGCCTAACTTTGGACAGATAAGTGGTCCTTTCCTAAAAGAGGAAAGGCTATGACTGGCTGTTTTGTTTATTTTTCATCTATATTACCCAGATCAATAAAGTATACTCTGCTCTTTCATTTTTGCATCACTAGGGGTTAAACATCACACCAACTCCAGATGTCTTAATAGTCTGGATGATAATGCATGAGCTGCAGTAAATTCAGTTCAGACTCACATATTGGTAAAATTCTATGATGATGTTTTGTCAGCTATCAGGAAATAGGGCATTTTTTGGGAAACACCTTTCAAATATTTTTAACGCATCAAGAAGTAACAGAAAAGGAAGGGATGGGACAATCTTTTTCTGCCAATCACAGAAGTAGTTGCTACCTGATATGCAGCCCTATCACCGAAAGATAACTTATCATAATCTGGCAGTGAGCTACTCATTAACTAGACAGCTGCAGAAGATCTGAAAGTGAGGAATCCAGAGCCCTATTCTTGGGTTAGGGAGAAGACTATGGTCTAGTGGTTAGAGGCAGCTAAACACACTGCACACAATTATATAAATTCAGAAAGGCAGAATTGCTGAGCAGATAAGTTGAGATTTGCTATGTGAAAGACCTGGGTCCTATTCCCCAAACCAGTCAATGCTTGATTGCCTCATAAGATTTGATAGGTTGTCTTGATCAATAAGGGTTATGCACTGTACAGAATCATAAAAATGAGTCAGTCAACAGAATAAGAACAGAAATCACAGTTCCTAATTCTAAAGTGGATAATGTTACAGTTTCATAGTAACTGTACCTGTATTCACCCCCCTCCACTCATGTTTTCCCCCATCACCTGTCCTTGGGTAGGAACCCTTATTCCACTCCTTGCTGAAGAGGGGTATGCAGGGGTTGTGATATTCCCATCAACTCAGTGTGCCTAAAAGGTCAGCATATAAGCTTATAAGCAATAACTACAGGTTGACTGTCTCTAGTACAGCACTCTCATGACCTGACCGGTGCCGAGACAGAATTTGCTGGACCATGTCTAGCAGCATTACCAACACTTCCACTCCTTACTGGGCTCTTAGAAGACAGTTAGGGGTAAATTAGAGCGAATAACAGCACAGAACACAGAGTGAGAACTGGTGGCTGCAAACAAAAGATATGGGACCTTGGGAAACTTGGTCAAACCCATGGTAAGTGGACATCTGACTAACTAAAATCATGCTAGACCACAGATGTTGCCAGACCAGAGTGTGCCGGGATAAAAAGGTTCGACCTGTAGTGTATGATTAGCAGATGAAAGTTGCCACATGACTCCTTCTGAAAAAATAAAAGTACTTGCTCAGATAAAAGCATTACTCAGAAAATATATTAAAAACAAGCACTTCTATACACATGCAAGATTACCAGATGCTACCCGGGCTTATGGGGCTCAAGCAGATGAAAATTATTCCATCTCTTCTGCCAGGGTAGGGACATGCTTTGGAAAAAGTCCTGTCCATTTGCTGGATCAGGAAGAACAAAAATCACCCAAGGATATGACAGGAAGTTATCATATCTACCACAGTCCTTCACAGTATATGGAACCCCTCTCAGACAGACAGACACACACCCACCCCGAGCTGGCAGTGAAAACAACTCAAATGTGGAATGTTTCATAAAATTCAATAGACTTAGGAGCTTAAGTGGCAGAACTTTTCTTTAGCTACTAGAGGAAAAAAACCCACTAAGTATTTGTATGATTCCAATAACTAGATTGACAGTCAGGGCCAGCCTTAAGCCGATTCGGGCCCCGCGCCCTGCACCCGGAAGTTGCTCCCTTGGCTCGGCTGCCCCCCCCCCCCACACCCTTACCTGCACACACTGCTGGCTGCTCCTGCCGTGCATGCCGTTCGCAGGTGGGCGGGGAGACGCCCGGGCGTGACATCACGTCACGCCCGGGATTTTAAAACTGAAAAGTGCCACGCGGCCGCTGCTGCGGCGCACGCGGTTCACAGTCCGGCCCTGCAGACTGCAGAAGATAGGGGAGGGGGAGCGGGAGCAAGAGGGGCTTGAATGGAGTGAAGGGGGAGAGAGGAAGAGGCTTGTGTGGAGGGGGAGGGAGAGGAGTGGAAGGGGAAGGTACCAAGAGACAGGGTGGAGGAGAAACAAATGCCAGGGGGCCAAGCACAGACAATCAGGAAAAGGGCAGGAGAGAAGGTGTCAGTGGGAGTGGGGACAGGGTGATGCTGGGAGAGGAGAGGGGAAGGGCATTGGAGGCTGGAGGGGAAGGTGCTGGGAGAAGGCTTGAAAGAAGGGGTGGGCATGAGAAAGGTGGGGATGGAGCAAGTCATGTGTGAGGGCACAGAGGGGCAGGAAGGGAATGGGGCAGAGTGGTGAGAGGCTGGGAATCAGGGAAAAAGAGGGCAAAGGAGGTAGGGGCAGTGAGGGAAGGGGGAGCACCAGGAGGGTGCAGGGCTAAGGGAAGGTGCAGGTGCTGGTACCAGGGGATTCTGGGCGTGAAGCAGAAGGGCAGACAACTGCAGGGAAGGGACCAGCACCAGAGGAGAGATGCAGGGCAGGTGTGTAGAGGGAGGTGTAAGAAGAGGGGTAACTCACATGATCAGAGTGGGGCTACTGGAGGAGTGGGCACAGGGGGGAGAGAAGGGCTGGTGGAAGGGAGCAGGTTGCAGGAGGGCTGAGGGCAGTGAGAAAAGCAGGAGTCAGGACAGCAGAGCAGGGCGAGGAGCTGGTGGGCAGCAGGCACCAGGGGAGATGATGAAACAAGAAGAGGAGACATGGCAGCAGAGAGAAAAGGTGAAGGGTTATAAAATAGTCTTGCCTTAATCTTTGTATTCATGCCTGTCAGTGTGAGAGAAGCTATTTGTATATATTTGTTTGCATATATAACCACACTTAAGTTGAGGCCCTCAGCATGTTCTGTAAGTATCAGTGTGGCCCCTGGGGCTTCCAAAGTTGAGTTGCCCTAGAAGGTGTCTGTCTAACCTGGTCTTAAATATCTGCAATTTAAGCCCATTGTTTCTCATCCTAACCTCAGAGGCCAAGCAGAACAATTTTTCTTCCGCCTCCTTATAATACTCTTTTAGATACAGGCAGTCCCCGAGTTACGCGGATCTGACTTACGTCAGATCCGCAGTTACGAACAGGGTTTGCTGCCA